ATGAGTATGAATGTTTTCCTGCATATATGTATGTGTACTATATGTGCACATGGAGGTCAGAAGGGGGCATTAGATCTTCTGAAACTAGACTGACAGATGGTTGTTTTCCATAATGAGCATATGGTGCTAAGAATCAAACCTGGATGCACTGTAAGAGCAACAAATGCTCTTCACCACAAAATCCTCTCTCCAGCCTCTAAACTTTTTCAAAGTATTACTGAAAGAGACTGGCTAGAAGGCTAAGTGATTAAGAGCTTTTGTTCTTCTTGAAAAAGACCAAAATTCACTGCCAAGGAGACACACTCTCTCTCTCTCTCTCTCTCTCTCTCAGATATCACAACAAAGTCATCAGACAAAATACTGGCATGATACTGCTAATAGTGGCTCTTCTGAATTTGAGTTACTCTCAAACTGTAGGCTTGTGATACACAACAAATATTTAAATGTAGTATCTAATTGGTGCTGGCCTGACTGAGGAATTATCATAAAGAATGAAATACATGTTCATTTTGTCTCCACATAAAAGCAGCGGTAGGTGGATTTCTGAGTGAAAGGGTCTCTATATAGTGAGCTCCAGCATAGCCAGGACTAAAGGAAGACCCTGTCTCAAATAAACACAAAAACCAAACATACAAAAATTCAATCTTTTATACATTCATTTATGAGTCTGAATGTTTTCCTGCATATATGTATGTGTACTATATGTGCACATGGAGGTCAGAAGGGGGCATTAGACCTTCTGAAACTGTACTGACAGATGGTTGTTTTCCATAATGAGCATATGGTGCTGAGAACCAAACCTGGGTGCACTGTAAGAGCAACAAATGCTCTTCACCACAAAATCCTCTCTCCAGCCTCTAAACTTTTTCAAAGTATTACTGAAAGAGACTGGCTAGAAGGCTAACTGGTTAAGAGCTTTTGTTGTTCTTGAAGGAGACCAAAGTTCAATGCCCAGGACCCATATTGGGTATCTCACAACTACCTGTTACTCCAGCTTCAGGATAATGGATGCCCTCCCCTTCTGGCTAATGTTGAAGAATACACACACACACACACACACACACACACACACACACACACACACACACACACACACAAAATCAATCTCTCCCTCTCCCTCTCTCTTCAAATCACCAAAACAGAAACAAAACTCATGTTTTCAGTATTTTACAATTCTGCATGGAATGTATTCACAGCTAATCTGGGACACACGTGGCCCATGGCCTGCAGGTTAAAGATGCCTACTACAACACCTTACATTCTCTCACCTGTCTTCCATAGAATCTTCTCTCCTATACGGTGAGTTCCTGATGGTGATTTCCATTTGGTGATCTCTCAGCTCCCCCTCCTCAAGGGAATCCCTTCTGGAATCCTGGTCATCAGACTAAGAAGAAAAGAAAAAAGGAATCATGAAGACATTTTCTTATATATAGCCTTTCTAATTATTGAAAACTATTTTGTTATGTAGCTCAGGTTAGCTTTCAACTTGAAACCTGCCTCAGCTCCAAAATGCTGAGGTGGCCTTACCCTACTAAACATACATACATACATACATACATACATACATACATACATACATGTTTGAGAGAGGGTGTCACTATAAAGCACTGGCCTGCAAGTTCCTGAGTGTTGGGATTAAAACTGAATTTTGCTGAACAACTTTAAATACATATATTCAATTTCTTTCTTTTTTTTCCTTCTTTTCCTTTTTTTTAGAGACAGGGTTTCTATGTGACTTTGAGGCTGTCCTGGAACTAGGTCTTGTAGACCAGGCTGGTCTGGAACTCTCAGAGATCTGCCTGCCTCTGCCTCCCAAGTGGTGGGACTAAAGACATGCATCACTACCACCAGGCTCAAATTTCATATACTTAACACCATCTTTTATTTTTGTAACCCAAAACCCAGGAACAGTTAGTTAAAAACACAGTGTATGATACAAGACATGAGACTATGCAATGATTTTTTTTTTTTTTTTTTTTTTTTTTTTTTTTTTTTTTTTTTGAGCCTGTCTGGAAATTCACTCTGTAGACCAGGGTGGCCTCGAACTCACAGAGATCCACCTGCCTCTGCCTCCTGAGTACTGGGATTAAAGGCTTGGGCCACCAAGGCCCCGGCAAATGTTAGTTTTTTAATAAGTCAAAATTAACACCTAAGTTGGATTTTACACACCTAATACATCATTTGTATTTACATACACATTTCAAAATGGTCTCTTTCTAATCTTATTAAAAGAAGTACTTATATCTAATTACCCAAAACCTGTGACTATGTTATCATTCAAACCAAGGAAGTTACAAAGCACTCTACAAACACACTAATAACCAACTTGAGAAAAATTAGTCTCGTTGCAATAGTGATTCTAGGTTCGGAGCATTTTATTTTTTAAGGAGATATTCTCATTTAGAGACAGCTTCAGGGAGCTAGAGATGACTCAGTGAATAAGAGCACTGGCTGCTCTTCCTGAGGATCTGGGTTCAATTCCCAGCACCCATAGGGCAGCTCACAATCGTTAACTCCTATTCCAGGGGATCTGACACCCTGACACACATGCAGGCTAAAACACCAATGCACATTTAAAAAACAAAAAAACTAGATACAGCTTCAGTGTGTTATCAATGTACCTTCAATGTCAACTGAGTAAATGAAAGTTTTTGTGAGTTTTAAAATAGATTTTGGGCTCACCTGTGACATTTGGAAGTACAAAAGAACTTCACCGAAGAAGCGTTGTTCTAATGGAAAAATGAGGGCAAAGAAATTAAATCTCCTTTAAGAAAACCACTTACTTAAAAAACATAGCTTACATTTTTTAAGCGTTTTATCTCTGCTTTCTCTTCTTGTTCTTTCCTTCGTTTCTTTTCCTGGAGAATTTCATCTAACGTTTTCACTTTCCAAGAGTCCTTTTCATCACCCATTTGAGTTAAAACACTGCAAAAAGAAAAATAATTCAAGCAACCTCGGGACAACAGAAAGCTACGGTCTGTTGCTCTGTCTTTTCTGAACCCTTCAGTCCAATCCTTGGTGTTTCAGAACAAGTCCGGGAAGTCCAGGAAGGCAGGAAGGATTCTGCCTCAATGTGATTTTCTCCGTCAGTCCTGTCAGGTTTTGGGCAACTCAGTTTACCTCGGATCACTTTTCCGTAACACGCAATCATCACCATCCACGGAATGGTGCTGCTGTTCTAGGATGAAAGACCATCCGGGTCAAAGCTCTTATTTCAGTGCCTCGCACCCAACACACTCTGCCTGAGGTGTCAAAGGGTTGTGTGAGAGAGAAAGCTCCGGGATGCGGGGAGGCCTGGGCAACAGGTAGGATCGAGGCGCGCCGTCAACCGCGGGGCCCCGGGACGGGTCCCTCTGAGGGTTCCGTCCCGCAGACCTGAGGCGGCCAGGGGCTGGCACCGGGAGCGCCAGGGCCTGCCGCCTCTACGGCCCTCAGTTCTGAGTGGAGAAAGGCTGGACGCCGCAGCAACGTGTCGCCAGCCCCGACTCTTCAGGCGCACCAGTCAACCTACATCCGCCCTCCCGCCGCCACTCACCCCTGCGCCGCTGCCGCCGCTGCCGCCGCCGGTCCTGAAGTCGGAGAAGAAACAGCGCCCGGCGCGCGCCAGGATTGTCGTCACTTCCTTCGAGGACGCGCGCTGATAAAGTAGGAGCAGGGGCTGGGCGAGTCGTGCGTGGGCTCTCTTGCGTACGACCCCCTCCCCCGTACCCTGCGCCCACCGGAAGTGTCCCTACTTCCGGATTTGATTCCGGCTGAGGACCGCCTCGCGTCTGACACCGCCCTCGGGCGTCTCTAGGAGATGACGTAATGGAGACGAGCCGCCCCGGATGAGGTGTTTGTGGATGTGCGCTGGGTTGTACCGCTGCCGGGAAACTGCACGGCCCTGCTAGCAGCGGGACTGATACCTTCAGGCACTAGGCAGCATCGGCCGCAGGCTGAACCGCCTTTCCGCTCGCCACGTGCCACAACCAGACACTTGTTTCTACCTGTGTAACTTATAGATATGAGGGGTTTGGGTCGGGCTCAGCGGCGCCAGGCGACACACAGTGCAGTCACGCTAGAGGCTCTCAGTTGGCCGGATTCCCCGATAGGTGCCCGGTAGTTACATCTGTCCTGACGAAGAAGTAAGTCCCTTATTAATGAAAATAACACGGAGACGAATCCAGTTTTCCCAGCCTTTTTGTCTTTAAAAAGAACCCTCGTCTGAGTGGCTGTTGAACCGATTGGGTGTTTTGTTGTTACTGTTTTCCTCTGAGACCGGGTTAAGCGTGTAGACCTGGCCTTGATCAGAGAGATCCTCTTGTATGACCCACCATCTTCTATGTTCTTTTGTTTTCTATTCATTCTAATTGCAGAATCACAAAGGTAATTAAGATCTACAAAATCTCTGAATTGTAATTGTGATTTGACACAATGAAACAAGGAGATCGAGCTTTTGCTTTTTCAAGACAGGAGTTCTCTGTGTAGCTTTGGAGTCTATCCTCTGGCACTTGCTGTGTACTCCAGGCTAGCCTCGAACTCAGAAATGCCTGCCTCTGCCTCCTGTGCACTAGGATTAAAGGGTTGCTCCACCTCGGCCTGCTCAGGGCAGGTAGAGCTTTACAGTGAGATTTTTAAAGCTGACAACTATGGCAGTACTTCTCCAAAGTGTTTACTTAAACCAACTGAAGATCTTGAAGAGTCCTATTTTTCCACTAAAAGCCTATGAGGGTTTATGGAAGACAGAGAAGCAATGAAAATTCCTTCTGTTAGGTTATTTCTGTAGGTTTTGAAAAAAAATAAGACAGATAGTGCTGGCACTCCGTTTCAGTTCCAACACTGTTGGAGGCAGTTAGGCAAATCTCTGTGAGTTTGAGGACTACAGTGAGTTTCAGGATGATCACACAGAGTGAAACCTTGTCTCGAACTCCCATCCCCGCAAAGAAAACAATGACACATTTCACATTTTCTTTCACAAAACTATTGGTGGCTTAGATAAAAGAAATGACGCTTTCACAGGGTTAAATACACAATATCAATTTATTAGATGACTCACTGATATATTTTACACAATTCTTTTTAGGAGGCATTAATCTAATTACTGAAATACTGAAATAGGTGAAATAGAAAACATTATACATTTTATGATACATTTTAGTTCACTAGTACTGTTTGGTGTAAAACAGTTATGACTTGGCTTTGATGTAGACGATTACCAATATGTTATCAAGTTTTTTTTTTTTTTTTTATGTGGGACTTACCACCTTAAACTCTGGCCTTTTCCAAAGTGCCAACACTACTTGAACAGATACAGATTCACAACTATTTAGTGCAGTTTGAGTTCCAGAAATGGAAACTAAAGACCAAGCAAACAAACAGAAAAACATAAGCACACAATTTGCCAATTGGATTGTTTTCAAACTAAACTTGGACATGTGAGCAAGGGTCCAAAAGCCACCTAACTCAGAGTCAGAGACCCCCAAGAAACGTGGGAAACATACTTAGGAAACACTGAAGTTAAAATCTACTACACTTACCAGGCAGTGGTGGCGCACACCTTTAACCCCAGCACTTGGGAGGCAGAAGCAGGCTGATCTCTGTGAGTTCAAGACCAGCATGGTCTATAAGAGTTAGTTCCAGGACAGCATCCGAAGCCACAGAGAAACCCTGTCTCAAAAACCAACACAAAACAAAAATCTACTACAGTCTGAATTGTGGTTGGTACTGTTTGTCCACAATTAGCATGGCCTCAGGTTTCTGTTCTAGTTCATGGGGAGACCCAAAACATTCATAAAACTAATAAAACAGGCTGGGGGTATAGCTCATAGAAAGAGCAACAGCCTAGCATTCCTGAATCCCTTAATTATATCCCTAACACACACACACAAGAGAGATGAAGAGAACTCTCATAGGTGGGCCATATCTTTCTGTTTTGAGGGTGGAAAATATCAGATTATTACTCAAAGACAATTGAAAAAAACTGGAGAGGTGTGACACATGCTTGTAATCTCAGTACTAAGAAGGCTGAAGTAGAAGGCTGTGGAATTCAAGGACTTCAAGGACATTATGGCTAAATAGGGAAACTCAGAAATAACTGGCATGGTTTCCCTTCCCTAGTAACATCTTTTTCAATGTTAGGAAACTAAATGCTTCAGGTTCTAGAAGATATCACTTGGATAGAATTGAAAGATTGTGCTGAGCATTTACTGTCTCCACTAAGCAAAGTGACCATCAAGAGAGCAGGGTCACAGAGCCACTTTTTTTGTGATGTTTTAAAGGCAGGAAGTGAAGTTTAGTTGACTGATTTCCTTGTATGCTTTATCCTCTTTAATCTCTGGTTCATCATTTTTATTTTTCGCTGATTAAAACACATTTTGGATTGCACAGTAATACTCTCAACTTTTAGGGCAGACAGATTATAGTGCTGATATGCAAGAAATTACAACCATCAGAAAAAGGGTTTTTTTGTTGTTGTTTTTGGTTTTTGTTTGTTTTTTTGAAACAGGGTCTCAATATATAGCCTAAATTGGTGTTGAAATCATATTAGGCATATTCTAATGCCTTCCCAATGCCACCAAGCCCAATTTTAAAAGCAAACAGAACAAGACATCTATGTTCTATGCCTTTTAATAGTGGAAGTTTTGGGGGTTTTGTTGTCTTTCCTTCATCCCTCTATTCCATGTTGCTGCTAGGGCCCAATCCAAGGGCTTCACAATGAATAACAGTGATGTACCACTAAGCTATACCCCAAAGCCATGGATGTTGTTTTAAATGTATTTTTAAATTATGTGTGCACATGTATGTGTGTATACGGGTACAGATACCCACAGAAGCCAGAGGAATCGGAATCACTAAAGTTGGAGTTACATGCAGTTCTGAAGCACTCTACATGAGTTCTGGGAACTGAACATGGGTCCTTAGCAAGAGCACTACTAGTTCTTAACCACTGAGACATTCTCGAGCCCAAGAAGTGTTCTGAAATTATAAATCAGTATATCTCTTAACTATGGGTGTAATGAGTTAGCAGATGGCTGGCTCAGTAGGTCCAGCCAGTGTTTTCTTTACAACAGACCAGACAATGACACAGACTCAGGAAGAAGTAATCCAAGACAAGTAATGACACCTGGTGTCGATATTTCTGCATGTACATCAGCAACAATTGTTGAAGAACATAGTAGTCTATAAAAGTACTGACAAAAGTTAATAAAAAAAATATTGTGATGGTATGGTCATAACAAATGGCCAAGCAGGGCCATTCCAGGACTCTCAACCCATGCCTGTCCTGGAAATGCTGGAAGAAGTGGCTGTGTGTGGAAAGGACATAGATGGAATGTAAAGCAGGACAGGATCATGGTGCTGGCTTTGGAACAGATTCCATGATCTTTCTGTCTACAATGAGGACAAACCTCAAAAGCAGCTTTAAGAAAATCTTTGTTTTTGTTTCTAGTCCACAAACTTAGAAAATCAAAACAGGCTGAGGGGCTGGTAAAGTGGGGGAGGGGTAGCCAAAGCAAGTCACAGTGGGTCATTTCCTAATTCCACATGGGACACAGAGACAGAAATTCCAAACACTACTCAGAATCCACTCATTTGGAGCTCTGAGCATAATTAGACAAGGTCTGTAGGAAGGCCAGAGCGATCTTCCAACCAATGTCCACAACCATGTGCCCTTCTGTGTGTGTCAGCAGCTCCACAGCCAGATTCTTGAGTAGACAGGCCTGATGTACAGATTAATCCAACATCCATCATCTGCCCTCCACTGGGTGTTTATTTTGGGAAAAGCAAAGAGGAAGTAACTAGAAATCTAAGCAAAGTCAAACGAGAAAACCCTTCACAGTGGAGGCGACTTTACTTAGCACAGGGGAGACACACCTAGCCTGTGTCCAGAACACAGGTCAGCTTCTTTTCAAAGGTGGCTTGCAGATTAAAAGGCCTCATTTTGATCCATCATAACAAACTTTTTCAAGTAAATAAAATGTAGACATAATTATTGCTCTTTTTTTTTTTCACCTCAATCTATCTCTTCAAGGGGCTATTTTCATATTTTCCAGGCAAGAAGCTAACTTGAAAACCAGTGAACTGCCATGGGCACTGAAGATGTAGAGCAGGGAGAAGTGAGACTTGGAACTAGATGTGCCTTGACTACAGTTCATAAGTCTCAGAGTTTGGGTTAATGGAGAGAGTCGTAAAGATTGGCTGGTCATGGATTGCACATCAGCACCCATGAAATGATGAACAAGGTAGAATCTCAGCATCTTGTACTTAAGTCCCCACACTGTTCCCCCTTAACTCTGACACTAGTGTCCCTGGGAGGACGGAAAGGCTCTGGGAACCTGGTGGCCCAGGAAGTGCCATATATGATCCCTGGGAAGAGCCAGCTGTATGTGTAGACTTTGATTCACCTTACATGCAGACACTCCAGAAGCTTCCACAGGCATCTGCTTTGTTAAAAATCAGTGTCACTTTAGATGCAGCATAACCTGTAGACACTCAAATGCTCTGCTAAACTTCCCTGTCACCCACCTGGGGTGGTCAACTGTGCCATTTGGAACAGCCTGTTTCACACGCATCATACTCAAGATGGAGAACTCCAGGGTGCCAGTTTCAGTTAGAGATTTGTCCCTAACTTCTCAGAGTTGGAGAAATCACTAAACGAGTAGCAGAAACTTGGGACAGCAAACCTGGAGTGGGGTAGCTTATGTAGCACAGGCCAAAAAAGGAAGACTTTCCCTTCACACAAGCACTGTCCCTCTGTGGAAGGAGACACGTGTCTCTGTTCTGTCTGCCACTCCAGTTTCCCGGCGTTTTGTGGCTCCATGCTAGAGTCATTGGCATCTAGGATTTCTGTTCCACAGACTGTCAGGAACCAGGAGGCTTCAGGGCCTGTGTTGGTGGTGGGCACAGGAAAGTTGAGGTCTCCTGGATGGCATCAAGCAGAGAGCAACTCATGTTGGTCCTGGAACCTATGCTTATTCCACAGTTGGCCCCACTGAGTCATTGGCCCAATTGCAGCCTGGGCAATGTGCCAGAGTAGCTGCAGGCCATTTGCTTCCTCTTGCAGGGTTTTGTCAGGCAGAAGCTGATCCCCAGACTCCCCATCTGATGTCCAGTGAGGAGCAAGAGCCCACATAGTCTGCTTCTCTATTCTAGCATATAGTGCAGGAGGACAGTCTAGGCCTGGTTTCTGGGGGACACAGTATTAGAAGGAACTCAGTGGTGTTGTCTAGAGTCCAGGGGAACCAGTGACTCTGTATCATCCTCTGGGCCCCGGCTAGTGGCTGTGGCCAGACTCTGCATGGTCTCTTGCTGATACTGCCTGGCCTTGTTGTAGAGCAAGACACCCATTGTGACAAGGATAGTGCCGATGGCAGACAGGCTGGTGATTTTGTTGCCAAAAACAATGATGCTGAGCCAGATAGACAAGGCGTGCTTCACAGTGCTGGCGACACTATAGCAACAGAGCAGAGAAAACAGTCAGGCTCTGGGTTCACACCCACACAGAGTGTAGCCTGCTGTTGGCTGTGACTAACAATTGTTATACAATGAACCACCGCTGTGTTGTCCATCCAGGGTATTGGCCCCAAGGGGGACATGGATGAGGTGCCTAGCACAGGGAGCATTTGGGGGGTTGCCTGAAACATTGTTATTTTATTTCTCAGGTTTATTCTTTTTAATGAAAAAAAAATCTCAAAACAGGGGCTGAAGAAATGACTCAACAGGTCAGAGCAGTGGCTCCTTCAGAGAACCTGGGTTTGGTTCCCAGCACCTAGATGGTGGCTCACAACTGTCTATAACTCCAGTCCCAGGGAATCCAATGCCCTCTTCTGGCTCTAAGCATGCATATGATGTACACACATACATGCAGACAATAAACCCATACATATTAAATAAATAAACTTAAAAGAAAAACCTCAAACAGAAAAGTAGAAAAACGCTGTGGCATATCCCCACCACCTGGACTTGATGAGTGGCATTTTGTCACATTATCTTGAGCTTCCTTCCTTCCTTCTTTCCTCCTTCCTTCGTTCATTCCTTACTTCCTTTGTAGCCCAGGCCAACATCTAACTCTCTAAATAGATGAGGCTGGTTTTGCATTACCAATCCTACCGATGTCTCCTAAGTACTGGGATTGTAAGTGTGCATTATCATACCCAATTTGGCCTTAGTTGTTTTTCCCTTTTTAAAAACATTATTTTTTCACTTTTTTGTGTGAGTGTTTTGCCTGAATGTCTGTATATGTACCACATGAATACTTGTTGCTCACAGAAGACAGAAGAGGGAATTAGATTCCCTGGAAATGGAGTTATGGATGATTGTGAATCATCATGTGGGTGCTGGGAATCAAAAACAAGACTTCTGCAAGAGAAACAAGTGCCAAGTGCTCTTAACCTCTAAGCCATCTCTCTAGCTCCTTGTCTTAGTGTTTTGAGATGCCCTAATCTGGCCTTGAACTTGCAGTGCTCCTCCTGCATTAGCCTCCTGAATGCTGAAATTATGTAAGTGTGCTACAATGCCTGTCTCATTATTTACTTGAGCTAAAATGTTTATTTTATTGTGTATATGTGCCCGAGATATGTATATGCATCATGTATGTGCAGTGCCCACATAGGTCAGAAGAGGTGTTGGATTCCCCTGGAGCTAGAGTTACACAAGGTTGTGAACTGCCATGCAGGTGCTCTGAACTGAACCCTGGTCCTCTTTAAGAGCCAGTAAGCACTCTTAACTACTGGGCCAATTTCCAGCTCCTGGACTGAAATATTTTAAAGCCAACTGGAGATATTGTGGTGTGGGAAGGGACAGTTCTCACCATGGATCTTGCTCTTGCCTCTAACTATTCTCTTTCTGAGGCTGGAGAGATGGCTCAGAGGTTAAGAGTGCCGACTGCTCTTCCAGAGGTCCTGAGTTCAATTCCCAGCAACCACATGGTGGTTCACAACCATCTGGTGCCCTCTTCTGGTGTGCAGATATACACGGAAGCAGAATGTTGTATACATAATAAATAAAATCTTTAAAAAACAACAACAAAAAAACCCATTCTCTTGCTTCAGGCTTCTGAGTACTGTGCCACCACTGCCAGACCACTACTCCCACCAATACTGTGACATTTGCCCCTAAATACTTCATCTTAGCCGGGCATTGGTGGCGCACTTGGGAGGCAGAGGCAAGCGGATCTCTGTGAGTTCGAGGCCAGCCTGGTCTACAGAGCGAGTGTCAGGATAGACTCCAAAGCTACACAGAGAAACCCTGTCTTGGGGCAAAACAAAACAAAACAAAACCCTGTCTCAATAAACAACAAAACAAAACAAAAAAAAAACTTCATCTTGCTCTTCTATTAACAGAAGTGCCAAGATCTTTACAGACCTGATGGGAAAAACAACTCTAAGATGCTATAATTTGGTAAGTGAAACTGGCCCCCACACACATTAGTACCCAGTAGAATGCCTGGACTTTTGTTCTGTTGGGTTGGGATTATGGATAACTTAATTTTTATACTTTCTGCCCTTTTGAACTTTCTATGATGAGAACAATTGGGGCTATGGGTTAGACATGCCTGGAGGAAATCAACCATAGACAGAAATATTTGGGGAAAAGCTGAGCCTATATTGAATTTGTACAGACTTTTTCCCCTTTAATCCCAGCACTTGGGAGGCAGAAGCAAGTGGATCTCTGAGTTCAAGGCTAGCCTGGTCTACAGAGTGAGTTCCAGGACAGCCAGGGAGTGAACTGATTAAAATCAACCAGAGAAAGAACTCTTTTGTCATTGTATTCCCACATTCAGAGCTCAGGAACAACATGTGAGCACTAGCTCCTGTTTGGGACACCACAAACAGAACAACCCATTATCTAGACAACTCTGACAGCTCTGTTCTATACAGAAAAAGTACCAAAGAATCTCAGAAAAAAATTCTGCAACAAAGATTTCTAGGAGAAAGTTCCCTGAAAATCTATGTCATGTAGTGAGGTACAAAATATCAAAGGAACCATAATGTGCCATCAGCTATCACTACAGAAGAGAACTTCAAACATCTTCCATGTCTCCTAAAAAAAATGTTCCGTTCACCTGAAAGTCACAGGGGAGATCTTTCCCATGAGGGCATATGCAGTGACACTCTGAAGGTGAAACAAGGCGCCATCTGTCAGCAGCAGCAGCACGATGTCCTGGCTGTAGCTGAAGCTCTTCCCACTCCTGCCAATCACGGGGACATCCTATGGCCAAAACAAAAGGACATTCTTCTGGCTTGTGTCTCCCTGCTGTGTCTGGCCTGTCATCGCTTCTGAGAAGATATGATGTCACGGGGACCCAGTTACTGAAAAGCAGTAACACTTGGAGCACTGAGGGCCTCTTTAACAGACAGCACTGTACCACATTTATTAATACTTCCAGCGTAGGCTAGGCACAGTGCTACATGCCTAGAGTCCCAGCATTTAAGAGGTAGGGACAGGAGGATCTGAACAGTCTGAGATAAACAGCAAATCTGAGGCCAACCTGGGTTACTTGAGATCTTATCTCAAAAGGGGTCAGGAGTGGGGGTGGGGCTGGGGAAATGCCTCAGTAAGTAAAGCACTTGGAATACAAGCATAAAAACTCAACTTCAGGGCTGGAGAGATGGCTCAGAGGTTAAGAGCACTGACTGCTCTTCCAGAGGTCCTGAGTTCAATTCCTAGCAACCACATGGTGGCTCACAACCATCTGTAATGAGCTCTGGTGCCCTCTTCTGGCATGCAGGCATACACGCATGCAGAACATTGTATACATAATAAATAAAAAAAAAAAAATTAAAAAAAAAAACTCAACTTCAGATCCCCAGAACATATGTACAGCTAAACATGGTAACGTGGCAGTACATGTCTGTAACCCCACTGCTCCTATTGTAAGATGGGAGGCAGAGACAAGCGAATTCTCAGAAACTTGGAAGATTTGGCTTGCAGATAAGGTACAAAGCAAGGACTGGCTCCCAAAGTTGTCCTCTGACCTCCATGTAGACACTTCAGGTGTTTCACTATCTTATCAAAAATCAGGTAAATAGAAACGTTTTGGGGAGGTGGAGGTAGCTTCAGGTCTGAAATCCTAACCCTTGAAAAACTGAGGCAAGGGGATTGCCAGCAGTTAAAAGCCAGGCTGTGCTGCACTGTGAGTTTTAGGCCAAACTGGGCCTGCAATCTTAGCATTTGAGAGATTGAGGTGACGACTGCCAACAACTTGAGACCAACTGGGATATATAGTGAGTTCTAGGCCAGCCTGAGCTACAAAATGAGATCCTGTTTGTTTGTTTGTAAGAAAAAACAAAGAAACAAAAGCCCTCATTAGTAAGGATCTTAAGACACTGGAAATCCTGTGGATATACTGTTAGTGGGAACATAAACTGTTTCAACAGACCATTCCAGTTCCAAGACTATATTATAAAGACATACCCCTATTTGCCATGGAACTGTGGGGCAAGGTAAAGCTATGACCCACAGCATAATCGCTATAGACTTCCCAGTGCGACATGTTTTAAGGAAAAAGATTTACGCAGACACATACTTCCATAAACTGAGGGGCTCCAGGAAATGTGTCGGGAGTATATCTGTAACCACAAGCTCACTACATGGCAACTCAGAGAAAGGGCTAAAGGTGGGGGGAATCCTCTCAGTTTGGTTTCAAAAATAAAACTGTTGACTTAGGTGGGTGTGGTGAAGCTGAGGCAGGTAGATCTATGTAAGTTTGAGGCTAACCTGGTCTACACAGCAAGTTTCAGGCCAGTCAGGGCTACATAATGAGACCCTGTTTCACAACAACAACTAAAAACTCTATTGACTATTGTATAGCGGGCAAATACCATTTCCACAATAAAAGATCAATTGAGCCTAAAATCCCTAACACAAAACTAAAATTTAGCCACCCACCCTTATCCTGAACTGTCAAAGGGAAGCAGTGGCCCCAGTGTGGTGGGTGCCAGCTGGAAACCCACCATGAAGAAGGTCCATGCTGGAATCAGCAAGGCCACAGCAGCAGCACTGGTATAAAATTGCAGCTCCGGGGCCCTGAAAGGACAGAAAATACTTGACCTTTCCCAAAACTGTCAAGGCTGCCACCCATGCATTTTGAGCAAAGAAAACGCTAAAGAATCAGCAATCTAGAAATGTCTCCTACAATGACAAGGATGAAAGGGTCCCCATGACCTCAACTGGCTGTTTGGTAGTCTGAGGAGTAAGTTAGGAAACAAAGCCACTCAAACCAAGTGAGTTCAGCTCTCAGGGATTATTCAGAGTTGTAAAATGACCAAAGTCCTGCTGGGCCTCATGAAATGATATTCAATGCTGGATGGTAGTGCACACCTTTGATCCCAGACCTTGTGAGGCAGAGGAAGGCTATATAGGGAGTGGTAGAACAGCCAGGACTACATAGAGTTGTCTTAACTCCCCCTAGCCACCCCCTGCCATTACTGCCACCACCACCACTGCAGAAAATAGAAAACATAAACCCTCTTCCTGGAGATACTCACGAGAACCTGTATTTGTCCCCACTGAGAAGCTTTTTCGAGAAAACATTCTGCAAACTAGAACAAAGAGAAGATGTTAAACATTTCAGTTAGTGAATGGGGTGATGACGACAGGGGCTGCAAAGGTGAACAGCCTCAGGCACTGACATGCCTGAGGCCAGTCCTGTACTAGCTGTGTCCAGTCATCATCTCACTGAGAAGTACAACTGTGCCTATTGTCCCTGCCATCTCAAACATCACAGGGCCATGATGGTTTTGCACTGCATGCTTTGAAAGGCCAAACATGGGAAGTGCAGGAAGGAAGATTAGGAGTTAAAAGTCATCTTCAGATACACGAGTTCAAAGACAGCCTGGGCTATGTGGGACCCTGTTCAAAACCTGTAAAGAAGGCTGGAGAGATGGCTCAGTGGTTAAGAGCACTTGTTCTTACAGGAGGACACAGGTTTGGTTCATAGAACTGAAGTGATGGCTCACAACCTTCCAAAGCTCAAGGGCCAGGGGATCCACCATCCTCTTCTGACCTCCATGGCCTCTGAAGGTCTCAGGTACATGTGACACACACACACATGCAGGCAACACTCATACATATATAATGAAGATAAATATAGAGGGTGCTGGTGCCTCTGAAGGCCTCAGGTATACGTGATGCAAGCCTTTAATCCCAGCACTCGGGAGGCAGAGGCAGGCAGATCACTGTTAGTTTGAGACCAGGCTGGTCTACAAGAGCTAGTTCCAGGACAGTTTCCAAAGCCACAGAGAAACCCTGTCTCGAAAAACCAAAAAGAAACAGGACTGGAATATGACATCTGTCCCTCAGCAGAGAGTATGACTAACATACTAACCCAACATTTCCCCCATATGACTGGCATCTGCCTGAGAGACTCAGCCAGGAAGAGAAAAATTGATCCAGTAGCCTGGCTTTATAGCCTTGAAAGATGGTCTCTGGCTTCTTCCTTGGTTTTATTTAGCTTGATCATGTGACATGATTAAGCTTGTATTTTTCATCAGACAACAACATTCTTCTTAAAATTAGCATATTAGTTACCAGGTTTATCCTATAGTTTAACACACACACACACAGAAAGTGGGGGGGCACACAGGAAGGCACACATATATGTGAATGTGTGCATGAATGCCATGGTACATATGTGAAGATCAGAAGATCTCACTGTGGTTGTTGTTGTTGTTTAAGGTAATGTCTCACTCTATAACCCTGAATGGCCTGTTGCTCACAGCAATTCCCCTGCTTCTGCTGAGATTACAGGCTTGTGTACCAGTCTAGTTAGCACACTGATTATCAAATTACCCTGACTCTGTAACCACATCCCTCTAGTTAGTATGTTAAGAATCAGGACTACACATCATCAATTCCCAGCTTTGTTTAGAGAAAATGCATCTGATCTGGAACTTACTGTTGTACTTCTTGAGAAAAGGCAGGACAGTGGAGCCTGGCTCTGAGTCACAGAAGTGAGGCTGAGCTAGTTTGGATTTGAACACCCGTGGATGCAGATGAAGCAAAACATGCACTTCTTAAGTAATGTCTCCATCATTTCCCCTTGTGATCTGTAACTCACCAATCCATGATATTGGTGGATAATGCAGCCGAAAACCCCAGGATGTTGAAGCTTATCTCAGTGGCGGTGCACAACGCTAGTCCTCCCATGACTGGGATAAGAGACAGGTTGACCAACAGCCCTGGCAAGAACAAAATAGGAGTGTGCATACATGTGGGTGCACACAGGCCAGCACACACATGCAGGTCAGAGGAAAACCTGTGGGAGACAGTTCCTCTTTCCACCATTAGGTCCTAGGAATTGAACTTGTTCTGTCAACCTCAGCAGCAGGCTCCTTTACCCACTGCTGGCTCCTACGGTTTATTTCTTTTTGGAAAAGAACAACAACCTGTAGTAAGATATCCACCCCACCCCCACCTGTGTGAATCATGATCCGTGCCTCCACAACAACCACCAAACACAAACCAAACAAACAAGCCAGGTGTGGTGGCACACAACTTTGACCCCAGCATTTAGGAGGCAGAGGCAGATGGATCTGAGTTTGAGGCCAGTCTGGTCTACAGAGCGCGTTCCAGGACAGCCAGGTCTACACACAAAAAAAACTCTATCTCAAAAAACAAAACGAAACATTACTATAAATAGATTAAAACACCCATTTAGGGGCTGGAGTGATGGCTCAGCACTGGAGACTACTTGCTGATCTTCTGGAGGACCCCAGTTTAGATCTCAGCATTTATTTTGGGCTTATCACTGCCTGTGACTAAGTGACAGGGGATTTGATACTTTCTTCTGGCCTCTGCAGGCACCCACACACATGGCATACACACACACACACACACCAATACTTAATTTAAAAAATCTATCCACTGAAATGCAAATCACATTTCCCACCTATATTAATTTTTGGAAATGACACCAGGTACTACTCAGAACCTTTTTAAGTTTACACACAGGACTTCTTTCACACGTGACCTTTATGTTCATCAGAAGTAACAGTCACAGTCCTATGATCAGTTCAGTCTAATTTTTTTTTTTTTTTTTTTTTTGAGACAGGGTTTTTCTGTGTAGCTTTGGAGCCTATCCTGGCACTCGCTCTGGAGACCACACTGGCCTCGAACTCAGAGATCCGCCTGCCTCTGCCTCCCGAGTGCTGGGATTAAAGGCGTGCGCCACCAACGCCCAGCTTCAGTTCAGTCTAATTTCACAAGAAATGGCTTCTGTCTCAGAACAGACTGGCAAGGCCCAGTGCAGGGACTTGAACTCTAGGAAGTAATCAAGGAACTGAATGATTCCTGAGCCCAAAGGACCAAGCTCAGGAAAGGATACTTAGATCCATCTTGAGAAAATCTTACCAGACAAGCTCCTTCTTGGCTTTGCAATGGTTGGCCTTACCCTCTATCTCTTGGGTAATTTTCATTTAAATGGTGCACAACACGTATAAAATTCCAGAGAGAACGGATATATACCACTTTATCTGACTTTGCTTCTGGGCATTTTTCAGACTGTTCCTGGGTCTGATTTCCATCCCAGGCCACTAAGATTCTTAGCAACCACACAATGATCAAATGCCTCTTGGGGAGATGGTGACACATAACCAGGCTACTGATTATGTGATATATATGTGTATGTATCTATGTGAATGTGTGCCACTTGTGTGCAGGTGTGCAACAGCCAGAATAGAGTATTGCATTCCTGGAGCTGGAGCTGCAGGCAGTTGTGAGCCTCAAAGATGGATCATGAGAACTAAATTTGGGTCCTCTAGAAGAGCAGCAAGTGCTCTTAACCAATGAGCCACCTTTCTAGCCCAGAATATGCTGATTTTTAAAAGGTTGGTAGGAGAGGGGCACTGAAGAGATAGCTCGGTGGATCAGAGCATTGGCTGCTCTTGCAGAGGACCTGGGTTTGATTCTGTACACTCACATGGTGGCTCACAACCATTTGTAACTCCAGCTTCAGAAAACCCTTGGGTACCAAGCACCAGACATACAAACAGTATACACACATACATGTCAACAAAATACTCATAAAATTTTAAAAATTAAAAAAAAATTCAGCCGGGTGTTGGTGGCGCACGCCTTTAATCCCAGCACTCGGGAGGCAGAGGCAGGCGGATCTCTGTGAGTTCGAGGCCAGCCTGGTCTACAGAGGAAGTTTCAGGACAGCCAGGGCTACACAAAGAAAACCTTATCCCAAAAATATATATATATATATATAAATAAAAATTTAAAAAGAGTCACAAAGCAGTCACAGTGCACTAAAGAGGGAGTCCTTACCAATGAACATGGGCATTGCCTTATTGTCTTTGGGTCAAGGATCAGCCCTTGGAGTTATACACCTGATGTTCATTTTCCAGTTTCCACTCCACTCCCCACCCAGCTGGAAGCCAAGAGGTACAATCCTCCTCTGACCCCCTCATTCTCCCACAAGAACAGCCCCAGCATATAACAAGCGTGATGAAGCATTTGCTCAAAGGACTACAGGAGACTACATCTGGCTGCCAAGGAAACTTTCCAAGCGAGTAGCTGAGCACTGGTTGGTTTGGGTCTGTGACTGCTCACTGCCCTGAGAAGCTCTGGAAAGCTGAACAAGACCCAGCACATAATAGGCAGTAGGTGACAGTGCAAATGGAAAAAGGATGAGGAAGCCCAGCCCAGGGAAAAGGGTAGGACCAGGAGAGTCCCTACCTGTGTACTCCCCCAGAATCATCCGAGACATGATCACAGTGAAAATGGGAGCTGAGCTCTTCACAGTCTCAGCAAAGGACACTGCCACATTCTTCAGGCTGACCAGCCCCAAAACCACAGTCGCAAACCTGAAATCAAGAAAAGACAGCATAAGAAGGGACCTGTCTGCTTATAAAACCCCAAGGTACGTCTGGGCCCTCTTCCCAACAGGTGAGGGTAACACTGCTGCACTCAAGGATGGCAAACACCTTCCAACCATTACTGAATTACCCCCCCCCTTTTTTTGGAGACAGGAACTCACTATGCAGACCAAACTGGCTTCAAATTCACAGACATCCGACTGCTCCTGCTTCCCTGGTGCTGGGATCAAAGCATATGCTACTACACCCAGCTGAATTATTTTTTTTGGCTGCCTTATAAGAATCTGAGAGAGAATGCATGTGGCTTTAAGGGCCGCAAAACTGAAATCTAACTGATGGATGCCCCACAACTGGATGGACCTATGAACATCCTGTACCCTGAACACACACTGACACACTAATTGTCAAGGCCTCCAATAGGGTTTGCACACTTAGCAACTAGAAAGCTTTTTTGGTTTGTTTGTTTGTTTGGTTTTTGTTTGGTTATTTTTGTTTTTCAAGACAAGGTTTCTCTGTATCTCTGGCTGTCCTGGAGCTCTGGAGCTCTCTTTGTGGACCAAGCTAGCCTCAAACTCACAGAGACCTCTGCCTCCTGAGTGCTGAGATTAAAGGCATTCACCACCACACCTGGATTAAAAAGATATTTTATATCTATAATAGTAACAATAATTAATAATAAAGACGGTTATCACATTTTTACCTCATGAGGCCCACAAAGAGCATAGTCATGATGAAATTGGGTGGATAAGAGAGCCGGGTTTTGTGTTGATATAAACAGCAAGGAACAAATATTTTAACACATCCAATTAATGTCGTTGACAGCATTTGCACAGCACCTGGGAAGGGAGGCATGAGGCCACTTTGAGAACATTCCTTTCCCACACATGGGCACCAAACATCCCCCTTCATTCCAGACTCATCTAGGTAAGTCCCTTTAGCCATTTCCCTCCCTCCTGGTGGCCTCTGGCCACTCAGCATGGGAGCCATAGGAGTGCACATTGGGCAAGGGGGCATTACCTAACATGCTGGGTTCTCCCTCTAACAGGGACAGGATGTACTTGTTGAGGAACAGAGTACAAAAGCTGAAGAAGAACCACAGCGTGAGGTAGATGAGAGCCCTTGAACTCCACACACCCAAGTCCGACTCAATGACAGTAGTCTCTGTGATGGTGACGGTGAGCAGGCTCTCCTCTGGACTGCCATCACCTTTGGTAAAGACAATCTTCTCACTCCGGTGACCAAAAAGGGGGCCCCAGGTGAGAAGTGTTTTTCCTTTCAGTTCTTCCTCGCAGTCTGGCACTGTCTCCTCCGGTCCTTGGGACTTTGCTGATGACATGCTGAGGGCACTTGTGAGGAGTGAATCTCAGGGACAGACCACATGGATCAAACTGACGGCCCAGGCAAAGGGACACAGGTGGAGGAGGAGGCAGGAGTCCTGGTCTTCAGGAACGTGGATTCCAACATGCCTGTCTTCAGCAAAGGCTAAAATGTCAAGAAAAGAAACCACATTACTAATTTTGAACATCTTATAGTCTTTTGTAATCTTCTGTGTATGATGCATGTGTGCACCTGAGTGTTTAAGTGAAGACACATATGTGGTCAGAGGACAATCTTGGGTCCTGACTTCCACCTTGTTTGCCCCTATGTAAGCTAGCTGTTCACAAGCTCCCATGGGTCCTCCTGTCTCTTTTTCCTATCTTGCCTTCCAAAGATTCTCCTGGTTTTGTTTTCTATCTTGCCATAAAGGGATTATAGTTGCTGTCCCTGGAGACCCCACTGAGGCAGCCCTCTTCCTCTTCCCACTCTGGTTATTCCACGATTGGCTCAGCTCAGCCCAGACCTGGAGTGCCTCTGCTTCCTGGTCTCTGATGACATTGCTTTCATCTTGCCAGCACTTTCAGAGACCAGAAAGCACCTAAGAATAGAAGGAGCTCACTGCTCCCCTCTAACTTCTCATGCCTGGCTGCTTCTCCACACCTCCCACAGACTCCCTTGGTACATTATCCAGAGCTTCCATCTGCTCCTAACTGAAGGGCTGATTCACCACACTGAGTTCTTAATTCATCAAAGGCCTATTTGTTTCCATTTCAAATTGGCCTGTTCTCATATTCTTTCAATTTCTCTTTCACACCCTTTACAGCCTCTGGAGGTTCATCATCCATAGATCGTGGCTACCTAGGTCCATTTTTTTTCTTGGTGGATGGATGGGCATGTCATACTCTACCTCCACCTGTTACCCTGGCTTAAGGTTTGCCCAGGGCCCAGGACCAATTTCTTCTATTTTCCAGACAAACACTGTAGTGATTGCATCAGTTTAAAGCTTGGCCTGAGGATGGTCAGACCTGTGCTACAATGTCTACAATGAGATGTCTACTGCTCTTAAAGCCTCAGGCAGAGCCAAACCATCCAGTTCTCCTAGTTCTGGCTTTGAGGATGGGCTCGTCTTTGACCTGCTTGATCTCATGAGGACCAAGATCACTTCCTTACAAAGAAGACATCAAAACTTGGCTCCAGAATGGGGATGTGGGTCTTTGGTAGAGTGCATGCCTACCGGGCACAAGGCCTGAGGTTTGAGCTCCAGCACTCAAACAAACGATAAAAACAAAGTACAGCAAAAAAATGAAACACCACTGCCAAAGAAGCTTTAAAAGCCTGTCACTTGGGCTTCCTGGGTTCTGCTTCTGTGGTTTGGAGCACTGGCTGCTCTTAAACAGAGCCGCTTACAACCCTTTTTAAAAAGGCACCTCTTCCCTGCCCCTTCTCTTCTCTTCATGTTTTTAACATTTTAAAAAAGATTTTATTTATTTATTATGTATACAACATTCTGCTTCCATATATATCTGCAGACCAGAAGAAGGCACAAGATCTCATAAGGGATGGTTGTGAGCCACCATGTGGTTGCTGGGAATTGAACTCAGGCCCTCTGGAAGAGCAGCCAATGCTCTTCCCCTCTGAGCCATCTCTCCCGCCCCTTTATTTTTTTTTTTTTTATTTTTTTTTTGTTTTTTGTTTTTTTCGAGACAGGGTTTCTCTGCGTAGCGTTGGAGCCTATCTTGGCACTCGCTCTGAGACCAGGCTGGCCTTGACCTCACAGAGATCTGCCTGCCTCTGCCTCCCAAGTTCCGGGATTAAAGGTGTGCGCCACCAATGCCCGGCTTCTTCTCTTCATGTTTAAGGGTGCTTTGCCTGCATGTTTTTGCACCATGTGTGTGCCTGATGCCTGCAGGAGAGGGTGTGTGATAACCTAGAACTGGAGTTACAGGGGGCTGTGAGCCACCATGTGGGTGATGGGAACCCAAATCAGGACTTGCAAGAGTATTCTTTTTTTTGGGGGGGGGGTTTCGAGACAGGGTTTCTCTGTGTAGCTTTGTAGCCTATCCTGGAACTAGGTCTGGAGACCAGGTTGGCCTTTAACTCACAGAGATCCGCCTGCCTCTGCCTCCCAAGTGCTGGGATTAAAGACGTGCACCACCAACACCTGGTGCAAGAGTGTTCTCAACCACTAAGCCATCTCTCCTCCCCAGCCCTCTTTTGGGGCACACTGCAGGTGTTAGCTCTGGATTGTGCATCTAGCCTCATGCCCTTCTGGATATCATGGTTTCCACCTCACCAGGATCCTTAGTGCATACTTCCATGGTTGCATGTACCTGACTCATGTCAAATCTTCTGTATGTACACTGAAGGATATATACACTGCCTGCCTGTGAAGACCTCACCCTATGCACTTTACTATCTGTGTAGTATAGAGGACACCATATTCATCTGGGAGAGTTTGCAGCACTGTCTTGCTCCCAGTGCAATACCAGAGCCTGTGTAGTCATCCTTCTCTACCCAGGGCTCTACCAAGTCTCATCACTACCTTGCTGTCACCTGATCCTGGAAATTATCACTCTTTCTCCCATCATGACCCCTCAGTACACAGAAGCCTTGCATTGTGTCCCAAACCATTATGGGTGTGGCACTGCTCCTCTAGCCCTCTGGATGCTGTTATGCTAGACCTCCATTCAATGCTGTTTTCTTCTTCCTCACCATTGGCAATGTCACAGTTTGGCTCTAGTAACAACTTGCTGGTAGCTGAACCTCCTAGGCTCCAGGACTGGCCAGGTCCTGTGCTGCGATGGAAAGAGAATTCATACTCCACCATATCCCTTTCCTGCCCAGGAGAGCAGTCTGAAAATGGAGTGGCCATTTTACTATCTGGAAGAAAAAGTTCAGAAACAAAAGTCACTGCCAAGGTGTTGGAGCAAAGTCTGCACCTTGGGACACCCAGGGCCCCCCAATCACTCCTCCTAGGCTTCTTATTGAAGGAGCTAAATAACCTACGAGAATCCCTCAAACAGAGCTTTTGGTAGCCAGATTCTGTTCTATGCTAGCTCCCCCCATACCCTCTTATACTGGAGCCTGCAGCTCCAGCCCTTCATCTACCACCCTGCTGATGGGCTCCACTTTCCCTGTCAGATCTACAATATCAAGACTCCCAACAGTTCTGTTCCAACCTCCAGGGGACACTAACCAACAAACAGTAACTAAAATATATATATATATATATATATTCTTTAGCCAACACTGAGCTTCCACACTGTCCTCATCTGCAGAGCAAGAGTGACATTCAACAGAGTCAGCAAGATGGTTCAGTGGATACCGCCAATCCTGGGATTCCCCACAGTGGAACAGATAACTGACTCTTGCAAGTTGTCTGCTGACCTCTGCATCCACACCACTGCACACGTCACCACCAACCCGCCCACACATACACAGTAAATAAAATCTAAACTCACACCATCACACATGTCACCACCAACCCGCCAATATATACACAATAAGTAAAATCTAATTTAGAGAATGTGCAAAGTGACACTCAACAAATATCCATCAGGTCAACAAACAGAGATGAGCGAAGTTCTATGTTCTCAGCATTGGCAGAAAATACCAGCAGGTTACAAATATTACAAAACAAAGCATGAGTTCAAATATGTTCTCACTCTTGCTCAACCATCTCTTTCTCCCAGGACAGTCATTTCACTTAGCCTTCATCAGGCAATTGGTCTTTGTCCTCTGGTGAGGCAGTGTGCCCACCGAGGAGCCCTAGGGGCCAGTATCTATGGGCCAAGAGACCTTACAAAGCCCAACATCCCAGCCTTCACCACTCATGCCTGGTTAGGACATTCATGGAACCTGGAACTAACTTCCTGTAAAATAACTTAAGCAGGAAGATAATTTTAAACAGACACATTCACATAGCAAGTCATCCCTTAACACTATTACCATGCAATATCTCCTTATTTATAGAATGGTGCATGCATCCTCTACTAACCAACACTTGGGTTGAGCGACTCAGTATCTATTCATCCTCCCTAAATGTCTCTGCTGGCTTGCCCTCAGGAATGGAGACAGCCATCATGGCATGTTTATGTGTTCACCATTATAAGACATTGTACAGATTTACACCCACATTTCTGCTGCACTTGTCTAAGACCCTCCAGCCAGGGTCTGTTTTCTTGTCCATACAGTTCTTCCTGTCTTCACTGCAGGGTATTAATACCATGAAACATTTGCACCCCCAGTGTGCATGTTATTACAGCCAATGCCATAGGAATAGAGACTCATCTTCCCCATGTAAGCATTTCTGACTGTACCAAGCAGTAGAAATTCTTACCACCAACTAGGTTCAAATGAAGACCCAGGATCTATAAGCAGAAGATGGAGAGAAGGGTCCCGATATCCCCAGCAGAGAGAACCTCAAAGAAAGTCCAAGTTTCAGATTGAGTTTCATGCCCTTTGATGATTCAAGGGGCAGCCAAGCAAGGAGCCACTGAGAGAAGCCACCCTCACAGAGACATGGATGGACTTTGTTCACTCCACTGATCAGAGAACTATCTGATTGTGCAAATGCAAAACAGATTAGCTGTTTAGACATGACCTTTCAAGAGTTAGTGTAAGTAGGAATGGTGGTACAAGTCTGTAATCCCAGCACTGGAGAAGCTATGGCAGGAGGATCCTAAATTTGAGGCCATCTTGGGAAGTGTAGTGACCTGTTTCAACTCTCCCACTGCTCCCACCTCCCCTAAAAAGAATGAACACACACACACACACACACACACACACACACACACACACACAC